GCCCCCCCGGCCAACATTAAGGGAAACATTCTGGTTGAAGGGGGGGCCCCTCTTTTTGCCACCCCCGTTGGTGCTTTTTTGAGGATGGGGAAGAAATTCCCGCCAAGCAAAAACGATTTCCCCACCTGCCCGGAGGTTCTCCTCCTCTTCCTCGACGAGGAGAGCGCCTTCTGGTGCCTCCCCGCCCTCGTCGAGCGGCTGGTGCCGGCCTCCTTTCTCTCGCCGCGCCTGCTCGGCCCGCGCCTTGTTCCTCCCCCCCGCAGCCTCCCCGCACCCCCCCTCCCGACTCACCTTCTCCTGTCCGCAGGCTTGCGCGCCGAGCTGCGCGTCTTTGGGGAGCTGCTCGAGCGGCGGCTTCCTCGCCTCGCGGCGAGACCTAGCCGAGAGCGGGCCGAGATGGCCCAGATTCGGCCGAGGTCGAGGTGTGCGAGCTGCGCCAGCTCGAGTTCCAGCACCAGTGCCAAGCACCAGCCCCCCTCGCCGGACCGAGAGCCCTGCTACCAGGCCCACCTCGCCGAGCACCACGTGCTGCCCGAGCTGTACGCCACTCGCTGGTCCGTCCCCCCCCCTCCCCTCCTTCCGTCACAGCAGGCGGCGAGGAGGGCGGCGGCGGTGGTGGTAGGTTCATCGCCGCCTTCGCCTCCTCCCTCCCCATCGCCACCACGCTCCGCGTCTGGGAAAAGCGCCTCCAGATGCAAGAAGACGCGCCCGCGTGTCGCAGCAGCCGCAGCCTAGCCAGCGGGCCCTGGCCAGCGGGCCCTGGCCGGGGAGGAGACGCGTACTCGAGCGCAGTCTCCTCCCCCGCCCTCGTGACGCCCCTCGTGGCGTACACGCGAGACCACTCACACCTCGCCGGTGCCTCCCCCCCCCCCCCCCCCTTCCCCGCAGGACTGCCTCCTCTGCGAGGGAGTCAAGGTGCTGCACCGCGTCGGCCTCGCCCTCCTCCAGATCTCGGAGGCGCCTGCTCTGCCCGCGCCGCCACCTGCCCGCGCCGCCACGCCACTCCACCCCCCCACACACTCTCGTCGCGTGTCGCGGACGTGTCGCGGACGTGTCGCGTGACGCGTCCGGTAGGCGCGGCTGCTCTGCTGCACCGAGCAGCACGCGCTGCTGCTCGTGCTGCAGGAGGAGGAGGGCCGATGCCACGACATCGGCACGCGACTCGCCGAGATCCGCCGAGATTCTCGCCGCTGACCGCTCTCGTCTCGTCCCTTCCCCCTCCCGACACTCCCTCCCGACACTCCCTCCCGACACTCCCTCCCGACACTCCCTCCCGACACTCCCTCCCACACTCCCTTCCACACTCCCTCCCACACTCCCTCCCGACACTCCCTCCCGACACTCCCTCCCGACACTCCCTCCCGACACTCCCTCCCACACTCCCTCCCACACTCCCTCCCACACTCCCTCCCGACACTCCCTCCCGACACTCCCTCCCACACTCCCTCCCACACTCCCTCCCACACTCCCTCCGGTGCCGCTCCCAGGCCGCCTCTTCGCGCTCGCCTTCGACACGCGCCTCTTCATCGGCCCCTTCCCGCGCTCCCTCCTCTCCGAGCTGCGCACGCATCACCTCGCCGCCCTCGCCTCGGGCGCCGCGCCGCCCGCGCCGGGCGAGCCGCGTGGAGAGGACGCCGACGTGTCCGCGGCGCGCCCATGACACGACCGCGACACGCCCCCCGCTAGGCGAGCCGCACGACGACGGCGACGCGGAGCCGCTCACGCTCGCGCCGCCGGGGGCGTGCCGGCCGGGCGCGGCGACCAACAGCGGGCTGGGCGAGAGCTCGAGCGACGAGGCGGAGGAGCGGCGGCCGGACCCGTTCGAGATGCTCTCTCTCGACGACGTGGCCGCACCGCCGCGCCGGCAGTAGGGAGAGGGCCGACCGGAGGGGTCGCGGAAGAAGGGGTCGACTTCGAGCGGGGTGGCGTGAGAGGAGTGGAGTGGTTGTGGGCGGATTTGGTCGGTGCGTTTCTGGTGCGTTTGCGTGCATCGTCCCCATTCGCTCGTGCGGTGGTCGAAGCGCTTTTTCTGGGTGAGTGGCATGTTCATGTATCTTGTATGCGTGTCCTCGGGTGGGTGTGCAGTGCGGTCCTGTGTGTTCAGAGCTGTCGCAAGCGCGTGGCACGCGTTGGTGCGCGCGCCGCGACCCGCGTGGGCGCGTGCCTAGGCTCCCCGCGTGCGGCCGCGCAACCCGCAACTCCGCGCGGCGAGTGTGATAATGTGTGTGCAGTGCTCGAACTTTACCGGTATGAGACCGGTATTTGGTGATATTTTGATTAACTTTGAAGTGGTATGGTATAGTGGTATGCGAAAGTGGTATGCGGAGTGTTGATTAGTGTAGCGGCTGTGGGTGTGGTCCCAGGAGGCGCGAAGCCGCCATGCAAAAGTGCGGGTATTACCCGGGTATACCCGGATTTTTGCAGGTATACCCGCAAAATACCGGGTATTTTGCCAATTTCGCCGATTTAGCCGCAAAAATGCACTCGGACTCGCTTTGGTTTCCGCGAGGCAGGTGGTATCCCATACCACTTTTTGATTAGTGCAGGCCTAGGGGGTTTGATTTATGATTAGCCCGCAAAA